TTTTAATTAGACATCTTCAATTTGCTATTACCACAAGAAGCTAAAACTATCCAATTTAAGTGTTTTGTTGTAAAGATAATGTATATAAGAAGTTTTAATTAGACATCTTCAATTTGCTATTACCACAAGAAGCTAAAACTATCCAATTTAAGTGTTTTGTTGTAAAGATAATGTATATAAGAAGTTTTAATTAGACTCTTCAATTTGCTATTACCACAAGAAGCTAAAACTATCCAATTTAAGTGTTTTGTTGTAAAGATAATGTATATAAGAAGTTTTAATTAGACTTCTTCAATTATCTATTACCACAAGAAGCTAAAACTATCGAATTTAAGTGTTTTGTTGTAAAGATAATGTATATAAGAAGTTTTAATTAGACTTCTTCAATTATCTATTACCACAAGAAGCTAAAACTATCCAATTTAAGTGTTTTGTTGTAAAGATAATGTATATAAGAAGTTTTAATTAGACTTCTTCAATTATCTATAACCTATTAAAGCTATTTGGAAACAGTTTAACAAGTAAATGTTGTCATTCTCAAAACAATGTTTTACAGTTGTACTTGGTTTGTCTTGTGTGTTGAAAGGTTTTTGGAATACATAATCTATTTCATTAACACGCTTTATTTATTACACAAGTTTATGTGCATTGCTGTTAATGTTATTAAACTACAGAATATCATGTTTACCGACTAAATATTTTTCAGGTTTATCGCCGTTACACAGCCCATTAAGTACTCCAAGCATAAAAACAGCAAACGAGTTGCTCTTACTATTGCTATCGTGTGGATTGTATCAGCAGCTATTGGCTCGCCAATTGTATTAGGCCTAAACACTACGGCTGACCGCAAACCACAACTGTGTATCTTCTATAATTCTGACTTCATCATCTATTCCTCGCTAAGTTCTTTTTATATTCCATGCTTGGTTATGATTTTTCTCTATTACAAAATATTTAAAGCAATACACGACAGAGCTAAGAAGGGTGTGGGAAAAAGGGCGCCAGTTTCTTCTTTTACACAATCTGCTCTTGCAGTGAAAAACATAGCTCCGGTCAGGCAGCTTCAAGAAACCTCCTTGAACACTAATCCTGCTACAAGCGTTGAAAAACAAGTCGGTAAAACCGAAATCGAAATTGTTACTGAAGCAGAACCCCCGACATGCACAGGAAACGGAAGCCACTTTAACATGTTTAATCAATCGAAAGATCGACAAGCGACCTCAAGTGTGAAAACAAATACAGCGTACCAGGCAAAGTTAATTGAGAAGAAAACAACAGAACGTGATTTATCATTGGTACAGGAAGAGCCTGAACTCTGTATTGCTACACTGCTAAAGGATTCGTCAAGGTGTTCGACGACTAGCCTTAACAAGCTAGGAATAGATAAAACACCAACAAACTATGGATCCCCTATTTCACCTAGTGGGCGAGGCGAATCACTTACAACCGAACCTCAGACTTGTACGAAAAAAAATCAAGATTTAACCTTGGCAGAAAACACAAAAGTAGTCGAAAAAAAAGGGAAAAGGTTTCGGCAAAACGAGAAAGGAAAGCAACCAAAACCCTTGCTATAGTTTTAGGTGAGTTAATAATTATGGAAGGTCAAATGCTGAAACTGGTTAGTTGAAATATTAAACATATTTTAAGTCTTATTGAATAATGAATTAGTAATGGTCAGGTTCTTACTATCACATAATACTAAGATATATTTCAAATAATTTATTCTGTTTTTTTCTTCCAACTAGTTGACACAACACAAGATCATTCTAAAGTGTCTTTGAAAAAAAAACAGTTTCAAAATGTGTTTCTAAATCAATTAGCAGACTACAACAAAAATGATAGTGCACATGCATAATCCTTAAAAATTGTAATAATCTATTGTTCATAAAACTGAATTGGATCCTGGGAAAAAATCGCAGACACAATTTGTGTTTTTTGTTCCTGACAAAAATATCATAAAAATATTTAACATTTTACTGAGTGCATGTTAAAAAGAATATTACATAAAAGTATTTAACAAAGACAATATAAAAAAGTGTCCTGAAACATTTACTCCCAAGACAATAAATGGTAGGACGATAAATATTACCAATGACTGAAAAGTGTTTCTGAAGTGTGAATTCAAATTAGAGTTTTGGACAATCTGCAACATTTCAGCAAATATATTATAAGTCTTACCTGGCAAACAGATTTTACGTTCAGTGTTAAGTGTTGAAATATATTATAAGTCTTACCTGGCAAACAGATTTTACGTTCAGTGTTAAGTGTTGAAATATATTATAAGTCTTTCCTGGTGAACAGATTTTACGTTTGGTGTTAAGTGTTGAAATATATTAAATCTTATCTGAGGAGCAGGTTTTACGTTTAGTGTTAAGTGTTGAAATATGTTATAAGTCTTACCTGGAGAACAGATTTTATATTTAGTGTTAAGTGTTGAAATATATTATAAGCTAACTATACGAATTTTAAACAAAGTTTGATTTTATATTTGCATCGTACAATTTCATATTATCTTGCAAACTCCCTTGAGTTACATATCAATTCTGGCTTCATTATATTGATAATATTTATTTCACTACAAAAATTGCTAATATAAAAACATACATTTAAAAACAACGAATGTTAAACTTTTTCTGGTCTTCATGAATAGATATAGTGTATATATATGTTAATGCTCTTCTTCTATAGATTGTATTATAATGACACTATAATAGCGTTATTAATATTAAGAAATGGTACAAAGAATTTAACTTATCTCCTAATGTAGCTTTTTGTTGTGAAAGATAATATTATTTCAGTACCACTTTCGCATGTATACCCAGTTTTCCGTCATCCTAATATCATCTGTAAAAATCTCTTCTCAGTGTTTAAGCATTATTTTCGATTAAGAACTCCGCAATACTATTTTAAAATGGTAACAGAAAATTATAGAGATATATGTGATTTATCTGTATATAAGTTTAAATCTAAACAACTTTATATTTTAGCCGCACTACCATTAAGAATCTTCACTCCCTAATTCGTATATTAATGTGATATTAGAAAATGTTTCTAAGCGTGAATTTTAGGTCTAGACTAAACTACAACTACCGAAATATTTGCAACGTTTATAGAAATCACATATATTGTGCTTCAGTTAGTATAGAAAAAATAATTTACTAGCTAATTTTCCGTTTTTAACATAAAATACTTATGCAGTTATAATGTAACAATGGTGATATCCTGCCCGATGTATATATGTTTTGGAAATGGCTTAAAGTATCTTGTAAGTATGAAGTTGAATTAGAGTTAATCTCGCCTTGCATTCATTAATTAGTTATTCTCTACTAGCTGGAGTACCCGTCCTCTGGACAGAAGTTATGTAAATTCATGATTAATTAAAGGTTATCTTAGGACATGAAAAGTTGCTTCCCTTTTATCTAATTGTAAAAAAAAACACACAAACACCAATAAAAACTGAAAAACACAGAATGGGAAACCGAACATTTCTTGTATCTCCGCATGGACCCAACAAACCTTCATGCCAAATTCAGTAAAGATCCATCAACAGGGGACAAAGTAGTGATAAAAAACACCAAAACGCCCATAAAATCCGCAAAATGCAAAATACAAAACTGAATTTGTGTGTACCCCTGCATGAACCAAATGAACCTCTATACCAATTTTGGTAAAGATCCATCCACACTCTGTGAAGTAGTTACATGGACATACAACAGACACTACTATTATATTTATATAGATTCGCGTACTTTATGACACATCGTCATCAACCAGTTCAAAAATTAAAAAAGAGACATGCATTGATAAGTGCATTTCTATTTCCTACCTTCACTTTTTTCTCAGCTTTATCGGTCTTAATAAGAGTCTTTTACTAATACAGTTTATTAGTTAAAGCAAAAAAGGGTTAAAGAGAAAACCGGACGAAATTCTGGCATAATATATTTCCTTTGCTCTTATGGTTCATAGTTAGTTCTTTTAGCCGGCTATATCTTATTTACTGAAATCGGTTAAAACCTCGTTCAACAGAGTTCATCGGGCATGTCATGTATATACTAAGTAACTTTACTTCCAAAATGTCAGCTTAAATTTGTACAGGAGTTAATAGATTTTTTTTCAGTTACTAATGTATTTAGCAATCTGGAATACTATGCACTACTTAATAATATCAAAAAGTATAGAGTTTTTGATATTTATTTATCATGCTAAAAATTTATATGTTTCCCGCTTCCAAATTATTTTGAGAGTAAAATATTTTTAAACTTCTAGTATTAATTGTTTTGAAAATAAATATATGTCTTCTACAGTTCTAAATAATAATAAAAACAAAATCGTTGCTTCATAGCTAGAAATAGTCTTTCCGATATTTTTACAAAACATTGTTTTTATAGGTGTCTTCCTGATCTGTTGGGTTCCATTTTTCACGTGCAACATCATTGATGCTATTTGCATAAAGCTGACCAGTGTCGACTGCAGACCCGGAGTGACAGTGTTTCTTTTAACTACATGGCTTGGCTACTTAAACAGCTGTGTGAATCCAGTCATTTACACCATCTTCAACCCGGAGTTTAGAAAAGCTTTCAAAAAGATCCTTAAAGAGCTTTACATGTAAACAAGAGATAAGACATTAATATCCTGTTATAGTCCTTGTTTTTATTACGATTTTTCAGAACAACGCTGTAAAAAAATAAGCACCTAAGTAGATTAGATGCTGTTGTTCTTCGATAGTTTCATTTGTGAATAATTATCTTAATAAACCAACCTTCTTTGAAACTATTTGTGAAATTATACCAATTTACAATTTCTCATCCTAGACACATTTGAAAATACCCAAGTTCTCTTTCTACCTTGGGTAAAATTTAGAATCGTTGTCATATTACGACCTTGGCTGAAGAAAGCTTAAAGCTAGACTTGATGTATACTTAAAACTCAGAAACTAATTGTCTCTTGCATATTAGATGCTTTCATTGTTTATGAAGACTAGTAACTTGTATAAAAACGGGAAAAAAATTGAATTAGGCTGTTAACTGTAGTAGTCATATGTATAAATATAATATGTGCACAACAACGTTAATTTTACTGTCATGTGTTTGATGTTCTAGTGAAATAACTTGTTATTAACAGCATTCACGAACTCTAAAAGTCTACTATTTTTGCGCTTTTGCATAAACCTCTTGTCTTAGATATTTGGATATCCGAAACGTTTATTTCAAGGTATTTGAAATAAGGAAAAAAGAGGAATTGTTTCATATTTTTTGTCGATTTTAACATTTCCGTTAGACTTAGAGGGCTAAACTTAACTTTGCAGATGCAACCTTCTTTCAATAAATGAAACTTAATCGATTGATCTTAGATAAAAAACAACATCACTTAATAAACGCATGCTCACTTTAAAAACATTGTAAAATCATCTTTAAATGTGAAATCTGTCCACTAACACAATATCACCCATTAAACTAGTTATCTTCATTCTTAAGGTGAAAGCTTGTTACTATTAACTCTTTATTTCATTGTGATTCTAGTCTACACACCAAACACGTATCTGAGTGATAGAAGTAGTAATGAAAGAATACCACATCTTATGTGGCAGTTAATGAAAAAACACATTAAATAGACCAAACTGTCAGAAGTCTTGATATTGGAGAAACTAGTTTCAACACATTTGTGTATCCCTTCAATCTCACGATGTCTTCTGGCACGAAAATTGGTCAACAACGTCTACGAGACCCCCAAAACTTCGAATTCCCTAAGTATACAAAATATCAGAAAGTTGTTTAGCTTAAAGTGACCTTAGAAGGTGTTCAAATTAAGCCACTCTAAGCTAGACAACATCGTAATCTTCTTTGTCCTTAAGGAAACTTGAAGTTCTGGAGTCAATAGGCGTTATTGACCAATATTTCTCCCAGAAGACAACTTGAGACAGAAGGGACACACGAATATGTCGAAACTAGTTTCTCCAATATCAAGACTCCTGACAGTTTGTTCCACTTACTGTGTTTTTTCACTAACTGTGTAATAGAAAATTAATATACTGTACTTTGTCGAAAAGTTTGTTCAGTTCGATCAACTCTTCTAATCTACACGATCGTCCATAAATAATTCAACATATCTAGAGCGTCAATTTAATTAATCAACAATCATAAAGTACTCTTCAAAATCCACAAAGGAAAATATTGAAGTCCAATTATTGATAAATTAAAAAGCATTTGATGAACATTAGGATCACTTATTTTCACTTGTATTGCTTTTGATAGTACTTAGAAAACATTTTTAAATAAAGTTCAACCTTATAGCAAGCTTTGCCACATTGCAGTACCTTACGGGAAAACTATTTAAACTTCTACTATTATATAAATTAAGGAATTAATGCTTGAATTGTAGAGACATATACATATTGTTAGGATTGTGAAAGTGTTATAAGTGTATTTTCATAGCCAGTAATTGTTTAAAACCCATTCTCTGTAAAGTTGTATATAACATAGAAAAGTGTTAAATTGATTTTATGTTTATATTAATATGACTTTCATTCATAAAATTCTGAAAAGGTAAATCATGAAAAAAAATTATCACGCTTCTATAAAATGCCGTTAATAATATCCTTCTGTTTAAATGCATAATTATAAAAGCGACACCCAGTTTCCAAGTTATCTTGTGTTTAGGGGAGAAGGGGTGATAGGGGAGACTTATATCTATGAGCATTTGTCAAGTTTAATTCCACTTTCTAGCAGTAAACTTTCTTTGAACAATCTTGTTATTTCGAACTGTTTTAACACACTCTGCCTATCTGTTTATTTTAAGATGACAAGAGTACTGTTTTGGGGGAAAAAAACGGTAATTAACGGAAGAAGATACGAGATTGAAATCACGAATTCAGAAAATTTGATATTATAAATATATTTTTAAGAAATATTGAAAGAGTTACTTTCTTAAGTTTGATTATTACTATTGTTAAGAACATATCTTCCACTCAAATTCTCGCAGTATTTCGAGAATCTTTCTAGCGAAACTTGTAACATATGTAACCAGTTAACTGGAAATGTTGTTTTAAGAATATTTTGCGGGAAAATATTACACTTTTGTACACTCAAGCTGTAATCACCTAGATAATTTTATTTGACGAAGGCATGACATCTGTAAAGGTCGCTTCTTAATCGAAAATAAATATAGAAAGTATTTTTTTTTCAGGAGCTGACTTAACTTGTTTAGATTCTAGGTAATAATCTCAAAAAAAAGCTGTCGTTTTTCCTCTTCTTACTTAGACATATATGTATAAAACTCAGTAAGAATAAAACGTGATTTGTCGATATTTTTCCTAAATGTATTTAACTTTCATTGATTGACAACATTGATCTCATTTAATGTATTTTCTATATATATATTGGGTTTACTTTTATACAAAAGAACAAGTTATTTACACCTGTGTTTGATTTTAAAAAAAAACAATGAATGAATATAAGAAAACATGTTATTATTAAGTATTTTCTGATGTTCAATTTCCTCTGTTTAGGCTTCTTTGTTTCCAGTCTCTTCTGTTTATTCCATGCCAAGACACTTTCAATTTTAATTTACACACAGATAACGATGTCATATAATAACATTTTATAATACGGAACGAAACACTTCTAAGTCAGAATCTGGTTATTTTACAAATGGTACTTAATGCCATCTGCTGACAACTGGGAAGAAAGTGTGTTTCACCTTATTAAGTAAATACATGTGGTTACATTTAGAAAAATAAAGCCAGCTCAACATTACGATACCTGTATTGTACTGTCATATTTCTAGAGATTACGACGACTTATCAATACTTCTAAAATATAACTTTAAATGGATAAGTTAAAAAAAGTTTTATTATTATGGCGTTTCTTCTCTGTACTGGGAGTCCCCCAGTGGGACAGCGGTAAATCTACAACGCTAAGATCCGAGGATCAATTCCCCACTGAGGACACAGCAGGTAGCCAAATGTGGCTTTACTCTAAAAGGGGGAACTGATTAACAAAAGCAAGGGAAAAACATTCATTTATATCACGACTAAAAGAAATTCTTGCTATTCTATGACACCGTAGTATTGTTTAACTCGTGTTTGAGTAGTAGCAATTAATGGCGTGAAAAAAAAAATTAAATTGAAATTTTCTTAACATTAGTTTATGTTAGTTACTTGAAAACTAGTTTTAATATATATTAAGTCAGGTGATTTATATGTCATACGAATAAATTTTCATCAGACACTAGAAAATACATTGTTAATTAAAACACTGCTTCTTTTGTTGTTAAACACAAAGCTGTACAATTGGCTATCTGTATTATGCCAACCACGGGTGTTGACACCTGAGTCGTTAGCCTTCAGATTCAACTTTGAGCCAATGGGGTGGTTAATTTTTCTGATTTTTGTTTGTTATTTTAAAGGTAAAACTTAATATGTGAAGTGAATCATTTAGACACGTGAGTCACTGTTCAATATTTACTGACTTTAGGAAGATAAAATAACATTTAGATCGTCGAAACTTTTAATGTTATATTATACAGAAATGCTACCTATAGAAGTTTCGAACTAGACATTCATACCTAAGCATTTTAGAACACAGAAAGTAGTAATTTGTCTTTGTACAACTAAGATAAATTTTCAGATTGTCAAACTACATAATATAAACAACACAAAGCCAAATTTTGAAATCGGATTCTGACTAGTAATTTTCAGTTTCCAGTCTACATAATATAAACAAAACAATAAACATTTCTTAACGAGAATTGTGTATTATTCATTTTTGAGTTTCATCATTTATTGTCTTCATGAAACTGTCGCTCAGTATTGTGAATCAATTGACAATGAAAATCTACTGTCGCCTATTTTAAGCAGCTATGCAATCACAAACAGTTGTCAAACTTTTGCGAACATATATGTGATCTGTCTTCTAGTTTGAATAAACGAAAAATAGAGGGCCAGCTTGTCAAATTTCTTGTTTCCTCTTACGCATTTTCTCTAAAACAAAACTTGTGTGGTCTTCACCTTAGAGTTATCAAACGTCGCATTTCCTCTTATTGGTTGGAAGAATAAATCACGTGAGCAGTTTCAACCTAATAGTTATCATTTTAAAAAGACTGCAATGCATTCAACGTCGGTTTAGTTTCATTGTTTTAGGGCAAAGCGACATTGGGCTATCTGCTGTGTCCACCGCAAGGAAATCGAACCCCGTAGACTTACTGCTGTCCCACCGGGGGACACAACAGCAGCACTTGTTTCCAATATTCTCCTTGAACATTGCGTTTATGTTGGTTTGATAGGAAACTAAAAGGGTTGAAATACAATTGTTAGGCTATATTCTTTATGAAATAGCTTTCTGCTAATATTTATAAATGTTGCTATGGCAGAGCTGGGTGTTCACCTAACTCCGAGAAAATTAGGCAATACATTTACCTCACCTGAATTAATTCCGGAAAACTTTGGTGCAGCCTAGAAACAGGATTGTTTGTTTGTTTGTTTTGAAGTTAAGCACAAAGCTACACACACAACGGGTATCGAAACCCGGTTTCTAGCGTTGGAAGTCAGCAGACATACCGTTGTGTCACTGTGAGGCTAGAAAGAGGAAATGACAGTGGTTACATGAACAGGTATCGAAACCCGGTTTCTAGCGTTGGAAGTCAGCAGAATACCGCTGTGCCACTGTAGGGCTAGAAAGAGGAAATGACAGTGGTTACATGAACAGGTATCGAAACCCGGTTTCTAGCGTTGGAAGTCAGCAGACATACCGTTGTGTCACTATGGGACTAGAAAGAGGAAATGACAGTGGTTACATGAACAGGTATCGAAACCCGGTTTCTAGCGTTGGAAGTCAGCAGAATACCGCTGTGTCACTGTGGGACTAGAAAGAGGAAATGACAGTGGTTACATGAACAGGTATCGAAAAGCATGAGGAGATTTACATTTATTGTATGTATATACATATATATATATATACATATACAGAGATTGAACAAAGTATTGGAAACACATGTGAATTTTTACTTTTTATTTTTTATATGAAGTTGATTCTTCATAAGCTGACAACAAAATATTTACACGAGGTGCAAGTGATGAAAGAAAGTGTCGTGCATCAGATGATGACATTTGTTATCATTCGTTGATCAAAGCTTCTTCAAAATGTTGGTGATGGAAAACTGCTTGGAAGATTAGTTTCAGGAACTAATCATAGAGGTTCGATTGCATATACACTTGACTACTGTTGTGGCCAAGTTAGTTTCAGGAACTAATCATAGAGGTTCGATTACATATACATTTGACTACTGGTGTGGCCAAGTTAGTTTCAGGAACTAATCATAGAGGTTCGATTGCATATACACTTGACTACTGTTGTGGCCAAGTTAGTTTCAGGAACTAATCATAGAGGTTCGATTACATATTCATTTGACTACTGTTGTGGCCAAGTTAGTTTTAGGAACTAATCATAGAGGTTCGATTACATATTCATTTGACTACTGTTGTGGTCAAGTTAGTTTCAGGAACTAATCATAGTAGTTCGATTACATATACACTTGACTACTGTTGTGGCCAAGTTAGTTTCAGGAACTAATCATAAAGGTTCGATTACATATTCATTTGACTACTGTTGTGGCCAAGTTAGTTTCAGGAACTAATCATAGTAGTTCGATTACATATACATTTGACTACTGGTGTGGCCAAGTTAGTTTCAGGAACTAATCATAGAGGTTCGATTACATATACATTTGACTACTGGTGTGGCCAAGTTAGTTTCAGGAACTAATCATAGTAATTCGATTACATATACATTTGACTACTGTCTTCCTGAATGAGACAGTTCCATTTGGGAATAAAGTGTTCATCATAAGGAAAACCTGGTTTAATGAACACTTTACCTTTCAGTGAGATCATAAGCTTTAAACTATTCGAACATAAGACTATCCATACTTCCATAGAACCTCCGCCATGCTTAACTGATGGCAAAATACATTCAAGTTTATAAACTTTTTTAATTTTTTGCCACACATAAAGAAATCCATATGATGTGAAAAGTGTAAAAGATGTCGTTTCAACGGTATTTTAGACAGTGCATACGCGGTAGAGTTTGAGGTTTCATGGACTGATCTTACCTGTTTCAAAGAGTGACGATGTTTCGGCTTCTATACTGAGGACCACTTCAGGTTGAATTCAAAGCTGATATATGTGTAACGCATTTTTCGGGGGTTAAAGGGGCATTGTGATAGTTATTCTTCATGTGTATTCGTCTCTCCGGAAGAGCATCATCATTCATTCTGTGTAGTCTGGTAAGAAAGGCTGGTCGGAGGTTGCTGATGTCAAAGTTGTGATTTCTATTAAGTGTAGGTTGATGTAAATGAACTCTTAAGTTGTCTTGACCTTTCAAAACTGGACTATTCCAATTCATTATATTGCCTATTTTGTAATTATGCTCTGTCTCCTGTTTGAACCCGAATTAATTTATCATGATATCAGAGAGTTTAACCTCATCGCCATTTTTATTCGCATTAAATGTCGCAACGTGTATTGTTTTGTAATATTATACAACATTTACCATATACTAAAACTAACCCAATGCTTCAACGTTTTATCTGAGCTATTTTAGTAGTTGAAATAATTTTATAAATATCGGAGGCACCATATAGCAATGTCTGTTAAAATCAACTCAAATCGTTTACTCACTTTCGTAGGCAGTTCATAACAAGTTCTGTTACAAACAACTTAAATCGTTTACTCACTTTCATAGGCAGTTCATAACAAGTTCTGTTACAAACAACTAAAATCGTTTACCCACTTTCGTAGGCAGTTCATAACAGGTTATGTTACAAACAACTAAAATCGATTTCTTAATATCACAGTCAATTTATAGCAATATCTTCTAAAATCATTTTCTCAGTGTGACAGGCATCTTATAGCGATTTCTGTTAAAATCAACTAAAATTAACAGTTTTCCCACTGCTGCAGGCAGTAAATAATAATGTATGTTAAAATTAACAAAAGTGGATTTCTCACTTTCTTGGGCAGTTAATATCAATATCCGTTAAATTAAAGTAAAACCGATTTTTAATATGGTGGGCAGTTTATATCAATATATTTAAAAAATATTTTGTCTCGGAACATCAAAAACGGTACTTAGAAGAGTCTGAAGAAACCAGACACACTACCTTAGAACCCGTTAAAATTAAGTATACCATAAGTATACAAAACAAATTCTAACCATTTTTAGTTTACTCAAATCTCCAACATTTTATCAGTTTTTGAAGTTCTGAAAAGGATCTCCTGTTCAAAAAACAA